GGATCTCTACGGGTAGATCGTTCCACAGGGCTGGAGCAGCTACAGAGAAGGCCCTCCCCTGAGGGGCCACCAGTTGGCATTGTCCGGTCGACGGCACCCGGAGAAGGCTCAACCTGTGAGATCTTATTGGTCGTTGGGAGGTAAGTGCCAGGAGGCGGTCTCTCAGGTATCCAGGTCCTAAGCCATGTAGGGCTTTAAAAGTAATGACTAGCACCTTGAAGCGCGTTCGGAGACCAATAGGGAGCCAGTGCAGCTCGCGGAGGGTGGGTGTAACATGGGTGTATCTAGGGACACCCGTTATCGCTCGCGCGGCTGCATTCTGGACCAACTGTAGTCTCCGAACACTGGGTGTCAAACTCACCTCATCACAGCGGTGTCATGTGACATATCGGGACTTCCCTCCCCCTTCACTAAACCAGGTATGGGCGTGGCCAGCATGTGACACATCTGGCCCACGGGCCGTGAGTTTGACAGCTCTGCCACAGGTTGATACCTGCTCACAGGGGATGCTAACCTGGAACAAGCAAGCATCCTGAAGTGCCTTCTCCTTTACCTGCCTCTGGAATGACTACCTTCTTAAATTTCTGTATTTCCATTATTGGATATTGTCGTGGCCTCTTGACAAAACTATTTCTGAATATTAAATTTGCCTGGAGGGCTCCTTTGCTTGCTTGTAAATCTACTTTGCTTGTTCAGCATAAATAAATCCAGAAAAAAAATTAAGAAAAAAAACTGTTCTAAGCCAGGTTGGGCAAGGAAGCGTCAACCAGAAGTTTCCCATCGGCTTGAATTCCCATCCCACAGAAGCTGTGCGGCTCCCATTGAAAGTAAGACAGGCAGTTCAATTTCAAAACAAATCATACAAGTCTGGCTGTTTGTCTGTCTGTCTCCTGGCTGGACCAATAACCATGTCTGTCTTTTTTCTTTGAAAGTTTGTTCCCTTTCTTCTAGAACCTGTGCTTTGCCTTTCCCTTTCCTTTCTCATTCTTTTATCTTCCTTTCCTTTCTCCTTTTATTTTCCTTTCCTTCCCTTCCTCCTTCTTTTAACTTCCTTTCCTTCTTTCCTTCCCTTCCCTTCCCTTTCTCATTCTTTTATCTTCCTTCCCTCCCTTTTCTCATTTTATTTTTCTTCCCTTCCTTTCCTCCTCCTTTTATCTTCCTTCCCTTCCCCCTTCTTTTATTTTCCTTCCCTTCCTCCTTTTATCTTCTTTTCCTTTCCTTCTCTTCCTCCTTCTTTTATCTTCCTTTCCTTCCCTTCCTCCTTCTTTAACTTCCTTTCTTTCCCTTCCTCCTTCTTTTAACTTCCTTTCCTTCTTTCCTTCCCTTCCCTTCTCTCTCATTCTTTTATCTTCCTTCCCTTCCCTTTCTCCTTTTATTTTCTTTTCCTTCCCTTCCTCCTCCTTTTATCTTCCTTTCCTTTTTCTTCCTCCTTCTTTTATCTTCCTTTCCTTCTTTCCTTTCCTTTCCTTCCCTTCCTCCTTCTTTTAACTTCCTTTCCTTCTTTCCTTTCCTTCCCTTCCCTTTCTCAATCTTTTATCTTCCTTCCCTTCCCTTTCTCCTTTTATTTTCCTTCCCTTCTCTTCCTCCTTCTTCTATCTTCTTTTCTTTTCCTTTCTCCTTTCTTTTCCTTCTCCCCTTCCCCTCCCGTCTTTCCTTCTCCACATATCATTGATATTGATCAAACAACCAAGTTCCTGAGATTGCTGATAGCTACAGCCGAGGACGGAGGGCTTCATATTTCATCTGTCTTAGATGAGTTTCTCAGATAATGAGATAATTCCTCACCCAAAGGAATCATATTTCTCCAATATACTTGGCATGCATTCGTCTGCCACGCTCCGGTTCCGTCCTGGGTTGTTATTATTTTTTTTGCCATCTGAAGTGCTGAGCGTGTCTGAATGACACTGGTGTCTGCGTAAGGCACAGCCGAGAACTGTCACGTCAGGATAACAAGCATCCCTCGCTTCTTTCCCCCGCTGGATCAATCCGCTTCCACATTGATTTTTCCAAATTGGCCATGATTGCAGAAGAACATGATTATGTAAGCGCCAGAAGTGTGAAAAGAGAAACTTCTTCCAGGGTTTGAGTTCGGCTTTCCATCGTCCCCATCTCTCCCTTCCGCCTGTGGAAGCAGCAACCTGCTCTGGGTGCCTGAAGAAGCAGGAGGGGGGGCTGCCGAGAGTTTTGCTCACTGAAATGTGAACGGTTGCAAGTTGGATCTGAAATGGACAATTAAAGGAGAAAGGCAAAAGGCTGGAAACTGGTTATCCTACCTGGAGATGTAGTTTGTTTATTGATTTGGTTTGCCACACCATCTCGCTTCGAGGTGACTCTTCGGAGTGGGGCCAAGCCTTGTCCATCCAAACAGGGGTCAAAAAAAAGTCAAGATGGAGCCATTACCATGCAATTGAACTCCCCCTTTTTGTCTGGGATGCGTAAGTGGCCCTTGGCTTAGGATTGCAATTGGGGGCAGTATTTAGGCTGCAAAGCAAGTCGTTTTTAAACAAGCCCTGCCTGGTTTTATGATCTTTTTTTTGGCCATGGCTAGGAAGTGATTAAAGGTGGCTCAGTGGCTAAGACGCCGAGCTTGTCGATCAGAAAGGTCGGCAGTTCGGCGGTTCGAATCCCTAGCGCCGTGTAACGGAGAGAGCTCCCATGACTTGTCCCAGCTTCTGCCAATTTAGCAGTTCGAAAGCACCTAAAAATAGCAATAGCAATAGCAGTTAGACTTATATACCGTTTCATAGGGCTTTCAGCCCTCTCTAA